AGACTTTCTGAAGGAAGCAACGTAAATGAAATCAATCTATAGATATTATAAAGGTTACATGAGGGGGCCAGAAATAATTAAAAATATTGTACCCGACAACACTGCAACCAAGAAGCTGTTTCAGATGCCTTGAAAATCCAGTTAGCGCAGAGCACTGCAGTATCAGGGAAACAACTTCTTAGGTAACTTTTTGTTCAGAATAATTAATGGATCAAATTTACATTGATAGGTGTTAATTATTTTCCCTGAAGCAATAAGAGCAGCACATACCAAGGGACTAAGTCGAGAATTAATAGTGCTAATAACTACCCCACATAGAAGAAGAATAATACATTAGTGAAATTTCTAAAGTTCATATCTTGGTTTCCAGCAACAAGTCCATCAAATGCAATGCCATTGATCATACTGACAGAACATCAACTAATCTCATCAACAAAAAAGAAAAAGCATTTCTGCTCTACTTCAGTCAGCAAAATGGGACATGATCGCTTGAATCATAATGAACAAGATCTGATGGTGATATCATATACATGCATCCATAAAATGGTTATAATCTATAAAAGACATAAGTATAATGGGCTTACTTGTATATATAAGAAACAATTCCCAGAATTACACACAGCAGAAGTATGTCAATGCAGAAGTTTCGGCTGGACCTTAACTGAAAACACCATTTTATTTGTATATACAACTGTTCTTGTCAAAAAATATAAGACAGGAATTCAAAATCCAAAACCATTAATCCTCCAGTTGTAGATCAATTACCTTTGTGATAGTTTGCTTGAGCCTAACATTAGTATTTTTAAGATCTGATGTTGCTTTGTCCACCTACAAAAGCGCCATAAAAGAACCTAGTGATGAATTTACAATACATGAAACCTTTTGTCAACTATTTGATTGACAAAATAGGTCTGGCAGAAGTAACAGAAGTTTCACCTTAGTCTCTATTTCATCCATTAGTGGAACTTGTCTATCCAACTCCTGGAAAAGAAAATTCCTTAATATGCACTTCCATTTGTAATTAAAAATATCAATAATAAAAAAACTGTATTTCTGTTTTATGAGATCATAAAGCTGAGACTATGATAGTAACTAACCTCATTCATATCATGGGCCAAATTTTTCAGTGTATCCAGACCTTCTGATATAATGTCAAGGCCTTGATCCTGTGAAAAGTCAATTTGGAAGGAGAACATAGTGAATTAAGGCACAAGATCTGGTGAAATCATTTTCCTTATTTCGGCATGTTGAAGAAACTGAAGTAGTTTAGAATTCTAACGTGCCTGTTTCATTTTTCTCATTTCATATTCTTGCCGAAATTGACTAGATTCTTCACCTTGTTGGAAAAATCCACCTTCAAAATCTCCATCTGATGGTCTCGAAACAGGCGAGTTATTAAGGATTAATATGCGAAAATAAAAGGCTTAAACAAAAAAATGGTAACAAAAGAAAGTGAACCAGCAAGATTTAATCACCTGATGAGTCAAACTTTATATTTTTATTAGACCCTGAAACTCCCCATCCTCCAGTTTGTTTGGCTGAACTTGTGGTTGCATCAGGTATTGCTTTAATCCTCTCTGGTAGTACAAAAACCAGATCATATCGTGTGTCTTGCTCCTCTTTTGAAAGCCCTTTGACCTGTGATTTAATAGTATCGAACATATCATGCAGTTAGAACTTCTGCTAAATGATTAAAGAATACCCGGCTTAGACTGAAACAAGAAAGAAAATGAGGCCAAATGTACTCCTGGCATGTGCTAGAACAAGATTAGAGATATAACAAGTTCAGGCTATCCAAGCTCAAGAACAATGGGCATGAGACTGCAATGCCAGTGACAGCGGTGTCATTGGAAGATCTCAGGTTTTATTGTACCAACGACAGTAATAAAATAAGAAATATGCTTATGCGCATAGGTGCCAATCTGAAGAGAAGGAGAACCTTGTTGGTTTCATTGGAAGTTACACCAAGAACTGTTCTCGCACATATTGAACCCAAAGGGTTATAACGAAGGGCCTTTGAACATGCTGATTTGATTTGTAAGATTTAGTAACAAACCCATGCCTACAGAACCTTTTCATGCCCGGTATATGATCAAAAGGGCCTTGGGGTAACAAGGCCGTAATGCTGCAGATTTTCTTTTATTAACTTTAATTGACTGTAGAAGTTAAGAAATCAAATTCAAAGTCCAACAGACTACGAAATGCAGAAGTTAATGATTAAACGTTGTCGAAGTACAATCCAGCAAATCTACTGTCACTAAAAAAAACTGTTTAAATTGCACCTAATATGACACATAAGTGGAATCAGAATGTAAATTTCACCTTCTTCATCGCCAACTTCTGCAGCTTAGGAACTTCGTCCATCAATCTACCCTTCATCCGACGAACCTCCGCGTTCATTGCCACCGCGGCTGCCCTATTCTTTTCTATCGAAGCCAACTCAGATTTCTGCAGATATAATACGCTTTAGAAACACGAGAGAAACTAAAACCGCATTTTCATAAGAAGAAAAGATGAAACAAACCATAAAGGGGAAACATAAATCCTCAAATCACTCTCTCTGCAACCAAACAATCAGATAGAGAATCCAGAACTCAAAAAATAATGACAAGGAAAATAAATAAAAAGGCGGAGATCAAAATGAAAGGAAGAGAAAAGCTAACATGAAGAGCAGCATCAATGTCGGCTTCGACGGAAGCGTAGAGCCGAGCAAAGTCATCGTCTCCATAGGCACTGAGGTGTCGCTGCTTCTCGAAATCGTATTTCTCGTACTTCTTGCATACGGAGTCGACTCTGAACAGAATGTCGATAACACTCATCTCGTCGTCGTCTCTGGTTCTTCTTCTAGCAGGAAGAGGAAGAGAGCAACGGAGGAAATATTCGGAGGGAAATGACAGAAATGTGGATTTCCTTTCCTACTCCCTCTCTCTCCTCCATGTTTGGCGCTGCTTTCTCTCTCTCTCTCTCTCTCTCTCTCTCTCTCTCTCTCTCTCTCTCTCTCTCTCTCTCTCTCTCTCTCTCTCTCTCTCTCTCTCTCTCTCTCTCTCTCTCTCTCTCTCTCTCTCTCTCTCTCTCTCTCTCTCTCTCTCTCTCTCTCTCTCTTCCCTCTTGTTGAGGGTGGAGAGCGGATCGCGGGAGCCCGAGAGCAAACCACAGACCGGACACCGTGTCCGGTCTTTATGTTTAGCGGGTTGAGGAGGACAACAGAGCAATACAAGGAATAAATCGTACACACATTACTACGTCATTATTATTATTTTTTTAAAAAAAAGAAAATTAATTTTTAAAAAATAAATTATTAAATTAGGCTTTAAAAACGAATCCTTATTATAATTTAAACTGTAATATTCTTTTTTGACACTTAATCAAATAACGTTTTTTTATTTATTTCAAATGTTTAATTTTTTTTTTTCATTTCTTAACAACATAAATTAAAATAGTTACATCAAATTTAAATGCATTAAAAATATTTAAGTAAAATAATTTGAATAATTAATTAATTTAATAAATTACTAATAAATTTTATTATTAATTAATTTTTTAAAACACTCGATCTAATTATTTTAATATAAAATAAAAAAGAAAAACTGAATATTTGAAATTAAAAGCACTAAATTTTAAAACTACTTTAATCATTTATTCAAAAATTAATAACAAATATTGAATAAGTTACATGTGGATTTTTATGCGGGGATTATCTTGTAAGACTCAATTTTTTTGCAATAAAATGGCCTATCTAAGTGTCACGGAAGACATATAATATATAAAATGTGACTCGAATGTTATAAGATATGCACCAAACTGAAACAGGAATGAACCAACATTTCAATTTCCAAAACAAGAATAACCTGCTTAACTTTGAGCATTGAAAAGCAACAGGCACACAGTTTAATATAAAAAAAAAAACATAAAACAACAAATTCGACTTCTTCAGAAAACATATCCAGATTCGTCAGATTTTTTTCTGAAATAAAAGTACAAATTGTATTAACGGGTACCGATAGAGTGTTAACCGGCATACAAATTATTTACATGTCTATCAAGATTCGATAAGGTCCTCCAAATCCTCTATTGAGTAAAGAAATATCAGAGTACAGATAAATGCAGGTTCAATCGTCGAAAATCATATATCTAACAGTAGAAAGCAGATCAAAGCGCCGTTACACAGCAGGATCTCACACAGTTATGCTGATTCCACAGGCAATCAGTAAACTAGATAAGTCTAACGTAGCTGCTTAAGCTACATTCCGATTCAAAGTAGTCACATTTTTCACTCAGAGTACCATATCTCCGTGATGAATGTAATATGAGTGAAGTTAACTGAATCGAAGCTAATAAAGAAGTATGTACTTTACAAATTTCAAGGCCCAAAAGATGAAAAGCTATACATACCAGCTTTAACTGAAGAGAAACCCGATTTATTGATGCATAAAAGTTCTAACTTAAAACACTCATAAATAGAGAAATCTAACTATTCATCTAGCCTCTCCCCACATTTCCCTCAACAAGAAAACAAAAACCACCACTTACCACTGCTGCAATCAGAACTTATTATCATGTCTCCAGCCAAAAAACAAAGAGAAAGAAGCTCGTAATTTTCAGTTCATAGCTTCATCACTACCTGCTTTCTTCGGCATGCAAAGAAAAATGAGAAGTGAAAATATCACAGACGAAGATAGACAAGATCAAAGAGGCCACTGAATCAAACTATTGCAGAGTGCCCCTTTTTCAGCAAGCTTTTTTAGTCATTTAGACTGATGATAGTTACCTGTTATTGTGTAGTTATTTAATTACCATACACTGCTAAGGTATTAGTACACCAAGTTACAAAATTATTACGGAAATGTTACAAAATTACACACAGCAGGATCCTAAGCAGACACCATGGGTTAGCACTCTTGACAATAAGACATTCTATCTGCTTGTGAAGGTCTTGGATGTAGTTCGAAATGGAAAACTAAAGCATAAGGTTACACATTTAATAGAACCCACTTTGCTAATAAGACAGACTTTCTATCTGCTTGTGAAGGTCTTGGATATAGTACGAAATTGGAAACTAAAGCATAAGGTACACATTTAATAGAATCCATTTAAAACTAACCTCTATGAGTTTCCTCTCACACAGCACAACAGAGTCACAAGACGATAAACAGGATGAAATAATGCAAGTATAAATAAATCAACACCAAACAGTTTGTAAAGGGAGTAAAATGCCTTTAAAAGTGAGAAAATCAAAAAACCTAACTTGTGAGTGATTTTTTTCCCTTTTAACTCGTAAAAAACTTTTGGTTAGATTTTCATACTAACCTGTGAATGGGTTATTAATTGTGAACCTACCAAGTTTAAGTGTCAGAAAATTAATTATAGAAGGACCACTGTTTATCGGATCAAGAAGAGACCACCAGAAAGCTCAAGTAATATTTTAACTTCTATGCTATGTTATAAACACATTCATAAGTAACCTCAACAACTTTATTGACATTATAATTTCTTTCCAGCATCTTATAACAAGTATGCATCAAATCATTGATTCTCACGTGACAACATTCAGGGTTCCCATTTCACCTCCCAGCAAAATAATCAAGCATATACACTGCTAAAAGGGCTAAAACATTAGCAAACTTGGAAAAGAAAATCATGAACATCCCAATCCAAAATCCTCATCCTTTCCCTCGCAGTTCTCGCTATTAATACTCAAAGAATGACGAACTACTCTTCACTAACCAACCAACTAAAGAATATGCATATATCAACAAAATCCATGGGTATTAAAAGACAAACAAAGTGGAAACGCAGAGACGGAACTTGACTACCTACAGCATGAGAAGGCACAAATTCCTCACTGCCTAGCTATAGATATCCAAGAGATTCAAATGAAATAAATCATAGTGAAAGAAAAAAAAAAGAAAACCACTAACCAAACAAGAAGTATTATCCAAAGCTCTATCAAGAAAAAGAATTATTAACCAGAGCAGGGAATCAACTGAACTGAAATTTTTGTCACCAAAACCATCAGGTTTTCTTGCTTATCTAGTATAGCTAAGCATTTCCAATATGAGATTCAGTAGTCCGAATTCTCCAGAGCCGACTCAAAAGAAAAGCCAAATCACTACTAAGTACCACCATGCTCATGAAATATAATATCCTGATCAGCACAAACTTAAGCTATGGTTATGATTTTCTTTCTAAATGACTGCAGCAATTCCTGAATGCAGTCACTTCCTGCAAAGTAAATCCTTCACTTAGATATTCACGAAACGGATCATAAGCCTAGCACCGTGCTCGGCTAAAAACCGCATAGCTAGCAAATCAAGCTCACAAGAGGTGAGAAGTCAACGTTAAAAATTTGCAAGAAACAAAAAAAATCAGAATCGAATATTAGGATCATGAAGAAAAGGATTAATTGAACATCACTCTTTAGCTTCAAAGCAATATCCAACCAATCTACTTTTAACAGATCAAACCCTAGGCAGTACAACCCTGCCACCATTTACAGAGCAAATACGACAAAAAGAAAAAAACGAAAAGAAAGAAATCGCAACATTAGATTACCGACTCAAGTTGAACTCGATCACCAAGGCGTTCCAACTAAGCCAACAGAGATCTGAAACTAGTTATACGGGATCGATTCACCCGATTCAGGCTCCAGCTCCGGATTTGTAGCGGTAGAGCTTGCCGAAGACGTGGAGAGCCGTAACGAAGCCGATGAAGCAGAGGCTCATGACAAGGACGACGGTGGGGGAGATCTTCAAGCCAGGGGCATCGTCGGTGTAGAATCGAAGCATGTTGCTGCTGGTGCCGGAACCGACAGAGGCAGAGCCACCTCCAGCTGACGCGGTACTCGAAACCCTGCGCCTGCGCATTCCCGCCGTGGCTGCAGCGGTGCCACGTTGGGCTAACAAGCCTGGTCGCGAGGTGGTGGAGGAGGATTGCGACTGAGAAGAGCCTCTCGCCATTGCTGAACGCGTACAGAGACAGGCAGAGAAAGAAGTGACGACATGAGAGGGGGAGGAAGAGTACAACGGAAATATCGAGGTGAGGGGGTAAAAGTGTAAATAAAAGGAAGTTTAGGGAGGTTTAGTTTACCGTGGATTGATTATTTTAGTAAATTAATTAATTTAATTATTATATATCCGATAATGATTTTGACTTTTCTGTCAGAGGCGCTTAAGTAGCGTTTAAGCTAGTTAATTACTAAAAATTATCAGTTAATGAAGTGGTAAGATTATTTAATTGCTTTATAAATTTGTCTTTTGAGTCAATAATTCGCCTTTTAAGATCCCAATTAACATAAACGAATTAAGGTTTATGAATATGGTTAATGTAAATTGTAATACGAAATATTTATTTAATTAAATTTGATGAATTTCACTCAACGATATATTAGTACTGTAAATTTTTAATTTTATTAAATTAAATATTATAAATTAATTATTAATTTTAATTATTAGATGGTTGAGATACATTTTAGTCAAAATTCACCGGATATTATATATTAATTTATACAGTATAGTTTGTATATATTCTGCGTGTATTATATACATATATACAAACATTAAAATTATCTTTAAACATAAAAAATTACAGATTCTATTCCTTAAGGCCGAAACATCAGAACAACAGCAAAAATCACTAATCACCTCACTTGAAACTAGCTCGCACAAACTGAAGACTCCATTGCTGTCTGGTTCAAAAGCTTAAACTCACTTGAACTAAACGAAAAGAGAAAGAAAAGAAAAGAAAAAAGCTCAGTGGACTCAACGAAGGCCGTGCGTGGCTCGAAGACGGCGTAAACTGCGGCGACGACGACGAAGGCCGGCGATCGGGTCATCGCCGGAAAAGAACTGACCGAGAGTTATTGACGCGAGCAGGACACCCAAACATACCACGGCGTAGCATTGGCGACCGAGTTTCCCTAACAGACCTTGCAGGATCTCCATGATCGTGAAATCTCCCCTTCTTTTTGGTGTTGCAGAAAACCTTTTATTAGTTTTCCAGAACTTGGAGAAGAAACAGAGAACCAGAGGTGAAGAAGAAGAAAGTTAATGCGTGCAAGGAAAATGATCTTTTTCTTCAGTTTATATGCGTCGTATGTGCGTGTGTGTGTGTGTATATATATGGTGCGAATGTATATACATGTGTATATATAGATCCAAAGTACATGTTTACCCCTGGGTTCTCCCTAAATTACTTCAATTCTATGGTTTTTCGTATATACATAGAAATTAAAGGTTAAAACTCAATATATATATATATATATATATACACATGAAATTAAAATTTTTAAACCATAAATAATGAAAAATTATAGGATCTGAATTGTAATAAGATGAAATTAAGAGGGTAAGAGTGTAAAATTGGGTACATTATTTTGATGTAAAAATTACTTTAAATAAAATACAAAATAATTTTTTTTGGGTCTTTTCAGAAAAATAAATTTTAAGAGGAAAAACATGGAGCTAAAAGGAAGTTGAACGGCATGGAGTGTCGTTTTGCAGCAGAGGAACTGAGATGGGCGTCGTGCAGAGAGAAAGTTGTGGAGTTTGTAACGGACGGCAGATAATGGTGTACCTCTGTTTTCTTGTAGGCCATAATTACCTCACGTATATATATATATATATATGTATATATTATACTGTTGAATCAGACCGGTCTGGTTTTCCAGAACGAACCGATCGGTTCTAATACGACCGGAGTTAGGTTATAATCGATTTATACTACTTCATACATATATATTTTTTATTACAGTATGGAACGAGACAAGTCTGGTTCTTCAAAGCCGGCTGGTTGGTTTCAACCGGGCCGAGTTAGGGCCGAGCTAGTTTGATCCAGTTCGGTCTAAACCGAACTCCCAAGCACTCTAATTTTTCGGTCTAGATTGAGATTTGTACGTATCTATTGGCAACTGGTACTTTTTACATACAAATTAGTATAAATTTTAGATTCAACTTTGTGTGGTTTGGTTTATTTTTCATAATCTTATGTAAAAGCATTAATTTTCTAAGCTATTATCTAACTTTTTTAAAAAAATAATAATAATAATAATTTGATTTTCTTAAACATATTCAATATTTAAAATATTAAACAGGGTAGAAATATTTCATTAAAAAAAATGAAATTTTTATGTAAATTTAAAAATATTTTACACAAAAAAAAAAAAAAAAAAAAAAAATTCACTTGGACAAGATAAGCTTATTTGATTGGCCCATCAAACCAAAAATAGGATGGTATATGCTTTTTTTTTTATCTCAAATAAAGAAATAATAGTATATATTATAATAGAGCATACATACATACATATATATATACTCATCTTTGCAAATAGTCTTCAAAATTCCAATAATTGAGCTACAACTATACATTGATAAAATTCTAACAAAATGCATCATAAAAGTATAAAATAATGAATAAGCATCCTCTCTCTCTGTGTGTGTATATATATATATATGCATGCATATCTTCTTTACCCAAACTGCCCAAGAAAGAATGAATTTATAGATTTACAATCCGAATATATCTCATTGCCTTCCTAAGAAATTATTATGTTACCATAGAATTTTTGTAACTTTTGTACATACCAATTTTTCTCATCGACTCGCTTTTCGATCAAACGAAAAGTCTTTAAGACTAATCTCAATTTCGTGTTGCTCGTGATTAAAATCTTGAACTGAATTTCTCTCGTGGTCCCTGTAATCTTGATCGGGGAAATTGTTGTGGGGATGATGAGAGGAGGACGATCCTTCGCCTTGGTGATAGCGGCCATGGGACGGAGATGGAGATTGAGACTCGGTCTCTGAGAGATCGTTATTATCGAAATTTGACATTCTCGGAGTCGTTTGGAGGCTGTCCGGATTGTGTCTCAAGAGATGGATAGGAGAGGCGTAGTGCGAGGGCGTGTTTGGTCTGCTGGAAAAAGGGGTTACAGATCCTTTATTCTGCTTGACATGTTTCTTTGCGGTATGGTGCCAATTTCTCAAGGCTGCAGCTACTCTTTCATTGAATATTGTTGGCTTCATGTTTGATCCCATCTGATCATATCATTTAAATTCAATTAAGTTTAACCAAATGAAACAAAATTTTTATTTTAATTGTTACAATATTTTCTCATAAAATAATACACACACACACACACATATATATATATGTTTAGAATTACCTGTGTGACAAGAGCATAGAGAGGGAGAGTAACATAGCTGCATAGAATTTGTATGAGAACCCTGAAAAAACCCACCAATTAATTTTTTAATTAGTGATAATATGACAAAATTATGACTAATTTAATAATTAGAAGTTTAATTACAATGCTAAAAGTTTCTTTTTTTTTTTTTTTTTTTTTTTTTACTTACCCCATAGAAATTCTGATGACAATATCTTCCACATTTTCATGGAAACAAGACTTAATTCCGAATTCATACTGAAAATTAAGGACAAAAAAACCAACAGTATTAATTAATTCCCATTAAAAAATTCATATAACATATGGTGCAAGATATATATTTCTAGCTATTGTATCGTACCCAAGTCCATGCAAAGAAAGCAAGTTGAAATGCATTCTGCAACAAAAACCAAAGAACACAAAATAATTAAATACATTACCCAAATTTTGAGTTAAGAAATGAAAATTATACACACACACACACATATATATATACACACACACACGCACATAAGTTGAAAGAAAATTAATTAAGTTAATTACCTGAAAAAGAACGAAATTAATGAGGAAAAGAATGAGTCTTGGTCGGTTAAACCAGAAAAGGTCATCGCCGGGCTGAACTACAGGGACACCCTTCACCACTTCTCCTCTTTCTTGAATTCTAAGTCCCATCTTTGTTATTATCACTTGCAGCTTGGTTCCCACTAGCAGGATTATCTGCAATTTAATTCACTAATTATTAGTTAATCATGTTTTAATTAATTTAATTATCAATTAATCTCAAAATGGGTATCTGAGAGATTTTGCTTACGATCAAAGGGATAAAGGGTAGCCATAGATACGAATACCAGCCTGTCCAAAGCAAAGAATTATAAGAAGAATCAGTCAAATAATTTAGGTTAATAAATGTTTAGAAATATTAAGCACGTGTTTTAATCAATTATATACACACATTGATTAATGAAAGAAATTTACTCACCATGAGTGTTAAATAGCAAGAATAGCACGGCAAAGAACCATATGGGTGGACTGAAATTTGAGAAAATATAATATCAATTTTACTTTAATTCAATTATGTAAATTAATTTGTGAAATAATAATGTATTAATTACATAATTTATATAATTAATTAACAATTTAATACGTAAGCGCTTACCTAATCCCGACCACAACCTTGAAATCCTCTTCAAGGGATCTATTGATGTATTTTTGGAAATCAAATTTTGTGTGGCTCTGTGGTGCTAAATGTGCCTAAAAAAGTAAATAAATATTAATAATTGAAAATATTTAACCGGAAAATCATTTATGAACGTATATTTTTTTAATAAAAAAATAAAAAATTACCGTAATAAATCCATGTCTGAGGGTCAAATAGTCAACTTTCGGCACAGACCTAACAAATTGCCTGAAGAAACAAACCTGCAAAGATAAAAAGTGTGACAAAAATTGAAAATAATTTATTATTTAAAAATCATTTTCATTATATTTTTAATTATTAAGAGGAACCAGAAGGAAATGACAAAATGGTCAATGCGGACGAAAAGTCAAAACCGCCTGCTACTATTTAAAAAAGAAATAACGAACGGCCAGGATTCTCTATTGAGATCAAGAAAAGTCAAACTAAAGCAAAAGACGTTGTTAGTCAGTTTATTTATTCTTTTCAACCAACAATTTAATAAATTATTACCCAACTTTTGACTAATGATGGTGCAGGTTTTATCTACGGGGTACGTAATTTAGCCTATTTCTTAAAAGAAGTTGACATTTTCACCTCCAGATACTTTATATGTCGTCATATATTTATATATATATATATAGATGTTCAATTTCACATAACATACAATATACGTACACATGCATATCATATACACGCATATACATGTATACGGGAGGAGTTATAGGAGTTGGTCTTACAATCCATATGAACACAGGTGTTTTTGTCCAGAAGCTCAAGTGTCTTCTTCCAAATGATGTCTCTCTAGCAAACCTAAACCTTTCTGGATCTGTAAAACACATATATAGATATATCAATATATAGACACGCATATATGTGTGTGTGTGCGTGCGTACGTTATGACACGTTATAACTTTTATATACCGTGTGAGAACTGATACTCGACGGTTCTAGTTTCCTTCTCCCATGATTTCCAGCTTCTCATCTGAAATAATAAATATATATATATATATATATTACGTTAATAACAAAGAGTAGATGTACTTACACAAATGTGTATCTATATGTCGAATAATCGAATCCATTATGAGTTCATGACATGTCAAAAATAAAATACGTCCCGATGATATTTGGTTCAGACCAACAGGGTCCAGATCCGACCCAATTGACAACCTTACGACTGGAGAGAAAGCGCAGAGGAAAAATCATATTATATATATGTATGTATGTATGTATGTATGTATGTATGTATGTATGTATGTATGTTAGACATACCTTAGCTCTGCCCAAAGCCATGGTGATAATACAGTAAAGGACATGGGAAACGGCCAAGACAAAAATGAAGATGTGGAGTTGGTGAATGCCTTCTTCGGATACAAATGGGACTTTGCCCTGCAAGTTAGTTAAACACCCCCATGATTAATCTTAACGAGGAAATGTATATACATATATGTGTAGCTATATACTGATAGGAGAAGTAGAGAGATCACATGCATGGATTAAAATGAATAATTAATCGAAAATGAATGAAAAAGAAAAATATTGTACTGTGACACATGACCCATCAAACAAAAGAAGCATATACGCATATACAAACACACACACATATATTTTATATATTTGCATGATCTTCATGTTTTCACACACAACCCGCGTTTATAAGACACATCCAGTCCCATGTGCACACCACTACACCAGCTTCCATGTGTATGGAAACATCCATACGCTACGTACTTCTTCTACATTATATGTGTATATCTTTTGTAACATATATATGTATATATATATATATATATAATACACAGAGAGAGAAGCACATATGCATTCCCTGATACCTTATATTAACTTGTCACATTATACTTGGTAGTCAACTTAAATTAACGATATATTTTTACACGGGAAACATGACTTATAAGTTGTAACATATCGGAATATATTATACATAGATATATTCGGACACATGCACCCATGTGTATATATATAAGGGAGTAATGAATCGACGATGAACACTCGTACCTTTTCGGCACATTTATCAGTAGAGGCAGCGGCCAAAACTCGCCGGAAACCTTCACCGGAATGAGTTACCGCAGAGAGGAGTCTCCGGCGATGCTCGAGGTCGGAGTCGTCGTCGACTTTCTCCGATTCCTCCTCTTGCTTCTTGTTGCAGGGATGCCACGTGGCTCCAATTGACTTCGGTATGCATATGTTCGATATGAGACCTTGCCCGACTGTGAGCAGCAGCGACACGAACCCCATTAACATAAGCTCTGCCAAACAGTACCCAAACAGAACCCAAAATTAATTAATCTCCTCAACTAAATGAATTTATGAATCTTAATTATTGTAATTAATTATCTAATTGATTACTTACCTGATTTGATCTTTTCAAGTGATTCGTACAGAGCTCTCTTGCGTTTCTTCTTCAACCACTGCAGGAATTAAGAAAAAAAAATTTAAGTAAAATCCAGAAGAGATTTTCGATTTCAAGCAATTATAATTAAAAAAAATCTAATTTCAGGAACTGAAAGCTAATGAAATTAATTAATTTATTACCTTGCCGATGAGATGGAATATGTACTCGATACAAATAGAAATGAAAACCAGAACGAAACAAACAACAGCAACAGCCCAAGTAGGTGTCTCCTCCAAGGATCTTCCTCCGCTAGCTCCTGCCATTTTTATCTTCTTCAAGAACTTCTCTCCTTGATATTGATCCCTAGCTCAATTCGCCTTAATTCTGAGATCGACCAATCGGAAAAAATTTCTGTTTGGGTGGAGAGAACAGGTAGTAAGTGAAGAAATTACTGAGAAATCAAGCGGTGTTTAATTGTTTGCAGATTGTCTCTGTCGAGGTCTCTGTGAACTTTCTCAGTAAAGAAAAGTGTATAAATGAAGAGAGAGAGAGAGAGAGAGAGGAAGAGGAAGAAGGCAATGAGAGGATATCAGTGATACGGACATATGAAGGAATCAGGATTGGATATAAGCGGAAGGCTTTCGAATTTTTAAATTTTAAAATCATTATTATTATGAGTAATTATTAATTTATTATTTTTACAGATATTGGGTGAGGGAGGAGGCAGGTGAGGTTGGGGAAGAGAATATGAACTGGGCCAAGTTTATGACTTTGACTTTTTGAACGCGTATAAGAAGACTCATTGTTTATTGTCTGTCATTCTTCTAGCTAGAGCAATAATTTACCTCATAAAAATGTACCTATAAATATATATATATATACACACACACCTATATATTATACAATATGATTATTGTAATATAATTATAAAAAAAAAGACTAATACCCCAAATAACACATCCACGTACTCAGGGATATGCATTGTGTCAATGATTTTTCTTTCGTATTTACTACACATATATATATATATATGTATATTATACATATAAAAAAAAACCATATTTACGTAGTTTCATTAGTTCCTGACTCGGTCTGCCCATAAACATTTTTTACCCACATACATACATATATATATATATTAAATAACACAGATTTAAAAACCGCATGAGCGAATGAGCTAATTGACCGCCTCTTCTTGTTTTTGAAGTTTTCTCAATTAATTTCTAGTGGAAAGAAAATTAAAATTAGTTTAGTGGTTTTGTTAACAGACTGAGTTTCAATGAGTTGTAGAGGCGGCCATCTGATTATTACTAGTAAATACATGGAACTTAGTTTTTAGCTACATACATGCATGCATACATACATACACACACACATATATATATATATATGCTTTGAAAATCAAACGAAGAGTAAGTGAATTTGCGGGTATGTCAATGATTGATCTAGACGAGTTCTATATATATATATATATACATATATATATATATATATATATATATATATATACATGACATGGGCATTTGCCATTATATATATATATATATATACATGACGTGGGCATTTGCCATTAAATTCTAATTAATTATAAAGAAATTATTTCTAAGATTTTGAAAATTCTAGATACTAAAAAATATATGGGATTGATGCCAACTCTATTTTTAATTGTAAGTCTTTAAATCTAATATTTTTCAATATTTTTTTACCAAATATAATCGTTAAAAAATTATAATTAATTTTAATACGGAATCAATATGATAAAATGCTTATTTTTTTGTCCACGATCCTTAATTTTTTATATATTTTATCATCTCGTAGATATTATTAAAGTTTCGGATAATCTTCACACTTTAAAATCTAAATCTATTTATAATTTAATTTTTTTATTGAACCCAAATATATATTTTTTCTTATATAGTTATGATTTTTTTTTACGATTCTAATTTTATATTATTTAAATAATCAAATGTCATGTATGTTTATATAGACGGTAGATATTAAAATTATATTTTATTTTATTTTTTACAAAAACCTAAATTTCATTTTTTTTTTCTACAATTAATTAAAAACAAGGCAAGGCAGCCCCTAATTTTGATTATTAATTAAGAAAATAGTAACGATTGTTTCACACGTGTGAATCAGGCGTCGTGCAACAAATCTGTGACGTCTGTTCAATTTTGGCACATTAACCAAATTATTCTTTAATTAATTCAAATTCGTTGAAACATTTAGAAAAATAATATAATCTTAATCAAATTAATTTTTTAATTAATTCAAGTTCGTTGAAATACTTGGGAAAAAAAACCAAATGATTACGACATTAAATTAACTTTTTAATTAAAATAATATTGGATTACCTGAAATTAACCTCGAATTCCGTATAATTAAATGGAAACACACATTAATTAGACCTTTGACTTGGACACTAATTCTCCATATTTCTTTCTTGGGTATTTTTTTTTTCTTAGCTAATTAGCTGTTGATTACATCCCTAATTGTTTTATTTGGTGAAGAATTGTGTAAATTACAATTTATTTAATGTGGGTTGCTTAATTCAATTTTCAATTGATTTATAAATTATTATATTTTGTTCCCTTCTAATGTGTTATTTTAATTTTTTAATAATATATTAATACCAAATATAAATTTATCTATTACTTAAAATACACAAAAATAAGAAATAATAAATTATCAAATTGAAGAAAACATATATATATATATGGTCCCATTTGATTGGTAATTAATTGTCTTTTTCCAATAAAATAAAATTTGAAAAATTAGAAAACTAACATATAATTCCAAATTGAAAAATGACAAATTAAAAGCTGCTTATTATAATAATAATTACCCCAATTATTATAATATAAACCCATTAAAAGTTAATACAAATTAATTATTATAATCCTATTAATAAGGTAAACATAATCTTACTTTTGGATTTGTCATTGTTGGAAACTTTTTTTCCAATTTCAATGCAAGAAATGTTAAGGCATTAATATTAACCAATGAAAAAGAGACACGTAATTACATATATGTTGTGAATTGAACAAAGTAAAACTGTGTTCGTTGAAATGGGTGAATTTCTCTTAATTGGTCATCAAGCCTTCATTGTCACTCGTATAGAATTTAATATAAAATTTTACAATACAAAATATAAATTAAATCATAGTTAAATACAAATTATATACTATATAATTCAAAATATAAAAATAATTCTAATAATATACGTAATAATTATTTATTTAAAATATAAGAACGTGGAACATAAATATAGTATAAGTTTATAAATAAATGATTTGTTGGGTTTGAAAGAAAAAACAAAAAGAAAGAAAGTAACATAATTCAATTTGTTAGCTAGATAGGTTGAAGGATAATAAAATTCTAGAAACCATCAAATTCTAAATCGTACATATATAGTCATACGATGGTTAAAATTTCGTACCCGATATTCACATGGATACAAATAAATTATTTTTATATATGTATATGTGTAATAACTGAGTTCAAAAATTCGGTCAGGAATGATTTTTTTTAATTTATAAAAAATATATATATAAATAATTAAAATTTTATTAAATTTTTTAGAAAAAATAAATTACGAACGAAATTGAAAATAATTTTAAAAAAAATATATGTAAAAGTATGATAAATAGGTGTTTTTTTACAAAAAAAAAAATTGAAAACAGTGGTTAAATTACAAAAAAAAAAAA